TAGATATCATTCTGTGAACAATATCATTGACATTCACAGCACAGACCAGCTCCACAGGGATGCCCATTTTATTGATCAGTGAGCCAGCTGAAGAAAACAGTAACATAATTACACGTGCACCAAGCATCAAAGGTACATGTGAAAGGTATAGCCCTGTTAGGGCCATGTGCCCACACTGAATGTACATGTCCTTGTGTAGAACTGTTACATGAAAACAACTAGGGTATTATATTGCTACTCTCTTCCTGAATTGAATGCTGGTCATCCAGGACATTTCAGTTCTTTTAATTCTTAATTCTTCCCCTTTCTAAACTAAAAGATAACAGAAATGTGATCTCTCAATTTTTGTTGCTGGTGACCTAAGTTTAAGAAAAAAATGATCTGAAGGGTGGCTTTTTGGTGGCACCAATCAAAAACCTCCAAATGTTGTTGACGTCTTTGAAGATACAAACTGAGCACCTTTTTGTGAAGATACATGCAGAACGAATATTCTCTTGCTCCTTACCAAAGGACACAACAGAGTAAGCCCAGCAAAGGTTCAGCCCAGGCCACTTGATTGTAAACAGTTTAACACCACTAACAAGCAAATATAGTTTGATTTAGTTAACATGCATTCACCTGTGCAATGTCCAAGTGCTCCTGACGGGATTACAAACTTTACAGTGTGTCCCACTTGACTGCAGACTCTTAGGTAACCATAGATAAGATGTACAGTTTGTGCCAGTATGCGGCACCAGTTGGTTGAGTTAATCATGCAAAGATTATTTGCCACAGCATAGGCTGGATTTGAAAAACAATTTTTGATTGGCACATCCAAATCATCTGATGTTCCATCCACCCTGACAACATGAACATTCTCCTCAAAGACTGTCGTCATTTGTAGCTCTTGTACCTGAGTACAACGACCTTTAGGATACAACACTATGATGTCGATCCATTGTGATCTCCTTACACTTTCAATGGCTGCACTACCGGTGTCGCCAGAAGTTCCCACAAGTACAACCACATTCTTCTTTCTCTTATTTAGGAGATAATCCATAAAAACGCCAACACTCACCAAGGCATAATCCTTGAATGCCAGGGTCTTACCATGAAACAATTCCAACACATGAAAATTGTTCACTGTTGCTAGGGAAACAATATCCTTATGCCCAAATTCAGAGAATGCTTTATTGACAAGATCTGTAAAATAAACAAGCCCAAAGTTAAAGAGCCCATGTCTGCATGAACAGAGTCATTTCTTGCAACTTATAAAATTCGCTCCAAATTGGAGGAACCTCAAAACACTGACACCTTTCAATAACACACTAACTCTGCTCAAACAAAGATGTGTGTTTTGCTGCTATCAATCATCTTAACAAACCTCTCAGGAAACAGTTGACTTCAACTTGATCATGTTTGTTTTTTTCAATGTTGCCACAATTATGATTGACAGCAGTGAAAAATTCAGTTGTAAGGATTTGAACTTCTCATTTTGTGTGTTATTGAAAGGCACAGCTAAGGTGGCTCAAAACAGTTTCCAGTACTCTCCAAGACTTAGATTTTGATCAGTCATTATAGTCACTCTCTCTGTTGATGGCACAATCATGGTATCAAACTGCCCAAATCATTGGTCAACACATTGTTATCATTTCTTGACACAATAGGTTACTATAGCAACAGTATGACCTGCTACACATACCCTTAATTATAACTTTAAGGGCTTATAGTAGACCTTTTTACCGATATGGCCGCCATTTTGAATTTATTAATTTGAAGCATATTATGGGATTCCTAGGGGGGGCACACACTCAAAAGGTTTGTGTGACGAGATAAGTCACTTTGATATACAGCGCTGCATATGCTGTGAATTGGTATTCCTCTTTAAAGTGTTACAGGTTATCAACCAGATGAAAACACGAAGGATTGTTTAGAATGTGTTGAATATTGAGAAATTACGAAAATATTTGAAAGATCGTGGTACTGTTATTACCAGTGGATACTTGACATACTTGCAAACGTGACATAGTTTCAAAGGTTTACCACGTTTCCTGGCTACACGCCACTGTCTAGCACTAAGAGCAAGAAGATTCTCAAATTGCAGCAAGAAAATAGAAAAAGTTCCTAATCGATTGTTTTGCCCCATAAGCATTCCATAATAAACTTTAAAATTAATATATTCAAGATGGTTGCCATATTGGTAAAAAGGTTTTTTCAAAAAACGGCATGGTAACTTTTTTTTTAAAACTTTGTCAAAAGTTGTGTCTTATCCTATTTATCAAAATGGGATGATATAAAAAAAATTTCAGATTCAATTTGTAACTACAATGTGTGGTGAGACTTGTTCTGTTAGCCTTAATACACTGTACATGTAGGTACATGTAGGTACATGTAGGTTATGGCTTCCTGTCAATTGTTGACTATAATGTTCGACTGCAAAATGACCTCGTGATTAATGGGTTCTTAAAAGTATCCTGATTAAGTCTCCCTGAATAGAACTGCTGTCTTCGTGGTGGTCACGTTTTACATAATTATATAATATTAGTAATAAGAAATTGTAATTCAATTTATATTGCCAATTTTTTTAAATACAAAACAAAATGCGCATTACAGAAAATTTTGATTGTTATTACTCAGCTTAAAAAACAGAGTTTCTGATCAATTTTATTTTTTTAAATAGCATTTTACTGATCCAGTTCGCATTCTCTCATGTAATTATGAGTGAAGGTGAAACAAAAAAAATTAACAAATTCACACCAAATTTACTTGTAAACGTCGACCTATTATTGTTTCAAAAATAGTTACTCTCAGGGTAAATCACGGCAGTTTATTGAATCGAGAAGATCGCTCTTTGACGAGTGCCAGTCATTTCACGATTTAAGTCAGATGAAACATGCAAATTCAGAGCTAAAAAAGGCCTTTGGTTTTCTATATCGCCCTTATAATAATACAAAAATAATTCCTACGATCTTAAGATAATTTTCCGCACGCTCGGGAAAAAGTATTTTTGTTGCTAATAGAGCTCTATGCTGATGCGCCCAACAGAGAAGTCAGCGGCTTGAGCTGCAGCTGTGGTGTGTGACTGCTGACCGGAGTCATTGTTCCAGCTGGTGCAGACAAAGTTGTCTAATTGTTGGGGAGGGGTGGATGCTGTACATTACTGTATAAAAGCCATGATCTCGAGTCTCTCAGGGAGTCCGCTCGACAAGCAAAGTGTTCCAAAAATAAAACTCAAATTTTAAATGAAATTCAGATAAATCGTTGTTCAGAACTTATTTGTTTCATTTTACTTTCCTTTCAGGAGCACATGAAGCTATGTTTATTCTGGGCCAATTCAGTCAAGCTCAGTGCGCCCCACAGAAAGTGGCTCATCGTAGGAAAGCAATGAGCGGAAACGTTGGTTCTTTGATCAAATATTTCAGATACGTTTTTCAATAGTTCATGTCTGGCACCGTGCCTAAGAAGCTAAATAAAAATATGTAATTTTCGACTTAGCGTGTTTAAGGGTAATCCGTTATGTGTTTAATATCGAGCTAGAATAAAAGCTGGCAAAATATCATAATTGATATCATTGTATTGTTCAGGCGGATTTTCAAGAGTCTTCATCGTTTTAGTGTCTTTTGACACACCCCAGTTTGAAAGCTGTGATGAAACTAAAACACAAGGCACCGTTTCGTGCATTTTACCCCGCCATTTTATATTTCGCAGTATATTTCGTGATATTTCTGCTTCAAGGGACAAGAGGTATTACTGAATGGTCCAAAACAAACACTTTTCCAGGCAGATTTGTCAGTACATGTTACCTGTCATGTGACAGTCTGTCAACTTTTTTAAAATTTAATATTTATCAGAATCAAGTAAGCTGGATGAAAAGTTAAGCTGTTCGATTTAAAAAACATTTTGTCGATAAACAACTACTCCGCGCTTTCAGTTTATTAGTTTTCTCTCTATTGAGATTTTCTTTATTGACATAGTTATTGACATCACACTCTTCACTTGAAAATTAGCGGAAGTGACGTCACGGCTTCCCTCCCTTTTACTTTCCGTCAGATTGTATCACTAGTAGTGGTCATAACATGCCACTTAAAGAAAACTGTCTTTTCTGTCACCGATTGATCACACAGAGATGTTCGGTAGAACAAATAGATTTACTTTATTATTGGTAATCACTCAGTTCTTCACCGAAAAGAAAATGCTTCGATAAAGAACATTCTTGCTATGTATCGCGTGGGTAACAAGTAGTGACGTAAATCCCGACGGAAATCCCGAACAATGTCTCTTAACTACAAATTAAATATGATGGCGGCATTTCGCTCGTGTCGCAAACACGGTTAGCTAGCAGCCGTTACTTTAAAACCATTCGACAATAAATAGTTCACCGGCTATAAATAGCTTAGGTAAAAAACTCACAAACAGGACCAAAATGTAACAAATTTTAAAATCTCTTGTTTTTTTGGCATAACCAAAATACATCAGTGTAGATTATGCAGCACACAGAAATAAACAGTTTGCCCCAATTTTAGTCCTGTGATGTTCTTCATGACAAAGTACTTGCCAAAATTTCAGATCATTAAGTGCTTTGGATGTTTTTCTAGATTGATAAACCATCAATCAAAGATTTCCCGATAGAGCAAATTAAATGTCCAGTTCATTTAAATTTGATTATTAATTACCATTATAGTAAAAGCCTTTGTGCCATATTCATATTACGTGTCAGTTTGCAGCCATGATCACTTGTCCTGGCCCGGGTTGTTCGAAAGGTGGATAACGCTATTCACTGGAAAAATCCTTGTAATTTTTTATCCTTGTAATTTTAAATTTTTAAGCTTCCGTTTTTAATTCCGCACAGTAAATTTCAGTAATGTAGATAAAAGACCACCCTAATTAACTTAGTGTTAGCTTGGTGATATCCTCTGTAAATATCGTTTTACTATTATCATTATCATTATCATTATCATTATCATTATCATTATCGTTATCGTTATCGTTATCGTTATTGTTATCATTATCATATTATGGCGTGGTTTGTTTTTGTTAACACTTATGCATTGGATAGCGATTTATTCGGTGGATAGCGTTATCCAGCCTTCGAAAACCTGGGGCCTGAACTTAACCGGTTAGACCCCAACAACTATTTCGTTGCTATATTTTATGGTTAAACCGATAAGTTACCGATGAGTCAAATATATCTACGAACGCAATGTTGTGAAGTTTTTGTTGGAATGATTCTCGGAAATATCATTTATCATGTTTCGCAGTATTCGGTCCCAATCGTCTCCTTTCTTCATTTCTGTGTAACGAGTAGGACTGGCGAGTAGCTGAGCCAGTTGAGGAGGCAGCGGCACTTCTATCCCAGCAGCCTTCACAGCCTCGGAGAATTTGGCGGGGCTTGCCGTAGCCACGCAAACAGTGGGTGTCTTGAGAACAGTGGAGTTCCTGACAATGGACAGAAACAATTACGAGAAAATTCTCCAAGCACTGTCCTGCTATTAACTACTGCCCAAAGTGTTAAGACACTTTTCTGGACCACTATTTCCAGTAATTTTGCAGATTTACTTATCTACAATCAATGATACCCTGACAACAACGATCCTCGTTACTTTTTTAGTTAGCTTATAAAAAGAGCTAGCGAAACAGATTTTGAAGATTTAGTCTAAATGTGGCAAGTTCATTGTTGGTTATCTGTGTGAATACCTCTGAAAGTTAACCATCCTTGAAACCATTTGGTTGGACAAGACTGTGGCCAAGAACGTGTCACAGCACGAAACCAATGAGCTAGTACGCCTTTTGCATGCATTTTAAAATAGGAACTGCATTAATATGGTGCGAAGTTTAATAGGAAGGAGAATAGAGAAGCAATGATCTAATAACATTTGCACTGGACTCCGATCCAGCGCTCCGTGTTTGAGCGCTGCAGTCACTGTGCTACCTTCTTGGCAAAGACATTTTTCTCCCTTGTTGCTCTCTCCACCCAGGTGTATAGAGCGCATCAATGGACTTAGTGGCCATATTGTGTTTCAAGGTTATATTCGTTACTAGAAAGAAATAACTTCCCATAGGAGAGAAAAATCTTTGTAGGAAATTCCCAAAATGGCAGGCGTCACGTAATGTAAAAATCCTCTTTAAATAAAGGAAACCTTACACCATACCGCTTGAATGGAAGCAAAAATTAGGCAAACCGACTTCATTTTTTGTATGATTACCTTTGGTCCCAGACCACTGAGGCACCCACAGCAGTGTGTGGACAGAGTAGGTACTGGTTCTCATCCCAGCATTCCTTCATGGTTTGTAATGTTTGGTCACATGACACAGAAACAGACGAAATAACTTCACACATCTGCAAAGGAGGGTTTGACGGATTAAGAATGCCCAAATAATTCAAAATATTTAATCCTTAATAACAGACTCAGTTTTGCAACTGGTCCTGTGTCAATTAGTATAGGTAATCGTATGAATGAGATCGCAATTAAGGATTTACACTACGAATGATATTTGAAAATTCTCTCAAAATTGCACAAGTCAAATACCGTCGCTTGCATCTACATGGTGTAAGCGTGAACACGTGATGTTGAAACATGCTCTAATTGGGTGTCAAACGCGGTATGATTGGTCATCAAACATTTGAAGTTTAGCAGACCGCGGGGCGAACTTTTGCGCTAAAAGTTCAGCACAAGATTGGACATTGAAGACTTGTTCAGAGATATTGACCCTGAACTGTGTCAATATGCATACGCCTTTCGTGAAAATGGTTTTACTTCTAGTATAACAGTATTTTTTGACGGTGACCATTTTGAAGTTTGAAAATAAAAAGTACTGAGTGAACATTTTCGCGTTACGGTCTGCTAAACTTCAAATGTTTGATGACCAATCACGCCTCGTTCGACACCCAATTGGAGGATGTTTCGGCGCCACATGTTCATGCTTAGATGCAAGGGACGGTATGCATCCCTTCAATACTTTTTCTTTGGCAGGTGGCAAGAATTCCACTGGCAGCGTGCCACTTCAGTGAGCTGCTGCGCCCTGCCAAAGCTATCTTTGGTTAAGTTTTAAGCTTTTCTTTGTATTAAGCCAATTATTAAACGGTCTAGCAACGACTGGAACAAACAAATTATATTTGTGGCTTTAATTAGACCAACATTACTTAATTTCTTTAAACATACCGGTCAGAAACGAGACGTGACCGAGCTAAAATTACTTTGGCCAGTCAATATGACCGGCCACGGTCTGAAAATAATTTTGAGCCCTGAAATAAAGGAAGTATCTATAGCAATTTTGTGACTTAATTTTGTGCTATTTCTTAAGACCGACTTTGATATAAAATAAAACAAGAATGAAGTGAAAACATCTTCAGATTTGCCTTGGGAGAATTGAAAGTCTTTGATGGTCTTCGAAAGCGTTCGGAAAATGATTTAATTTAATTTAGGAGTTAATTCCTAATTCCTTTTTACGATCCTTTAACAATTTCAAGTTCATCTTAGGAAGTCACAAGAATATGAAATGATTAGTCTGATCGTGCAGGGGTAACTGAATCTTGATATAACACGTAATTCTCTGAAGAAACATCATACAAAATATTAGGGGAAAAGTAGAGAGAATTTGATGTTGATGTCAAGACTGCAAGGGTTAAGCAAAGACTTCAACTGCACAGTCATCACAATAATTTGATTACTCTCCTCTCTAAAAAAGAACTATTTAGAAATTACACTAGACTTTCATAACAGGAACAAAGTGCTGCAAGATGGGGCGTGACTCTATGAAAACAAAAGGCAAACAATTAAACATGTTTACCTTTCCTCTCAAGTCACCAGGTATCATCAGTGAGTTTTTCTGTTCAAATTCTTTCATCAGAGAATCAACAAGACCATAGTTCATGTTGGAGAAGAGTAACAACAAACGTTCCACATTATAAGGGACCTAGAAACACAGGAAATAAGAGATTGTTACCATGACTGCACACTTGTCTCCAAGTACTCCATTGTGCTGCTTTAGGCATTCAAGGAGTGAGAATTGACTTTTTCCCTGTTAATCTCTCCTAAAAAACCAAGATCTCCAAATTCCAATTTGATCAGATTAGAGAACCCACTTGAAAACCAGCTAGGGCTGATGTGGCTTCTTCTCTAAATCTGATAATTTACTACTTTTTATCATTATTAATAAAAAATTGGACAAAAGCTTTGGGCTGTGTGCTCTAAAGTGAACAAAAAACCCCAAACAAACAAACAAACAAACAAACAAAAACATGTCTAGGACTTTGCTTAGATAACTGACAGTATGCAGATATGAAAATCTGACATCAACTGAAAACACAGTGCAGCCAAACAAAACTTCACTTTGTTCTTGAAAATAAATACTGGAATATAATTAATAAATAAATAAATAAATATAAATAAATGAATAAATAAATAAATAAATAACTCAACAATTCAAAAATGGCAAAATAACAAAACTTAGGACAATTACTGAAATACTGAATAAACAAGCAAACCAGCAAACAAGAAAAAAATAGAACAAAACATGACAATTGTAAAATAATACAATGCAGCTATAGCAACCAGGATCACTTTAAACAAAACTGACCAATCAAGTAACAGGAAAGGAACAATGAATTGCTAATAATGATAACAGAAAAAGGTCACAATTTATCCTGTAGTTAATCACCTTTAGCAGACATCTCAAGAAACACTAATTTCTTTTAAAGATCACACACATTGCTATTCAAACCTGCTTTGCATGCCAACTTTGTGAGTAAAGTATCGTAGCTGGTGTGCCTTTGATGGAAGCCAAAGAAATAACAGAAAAATGTTTGACATAGGAAGGTCAGTTGTTTAGTTTCTAAGAGCAGAAATATCACAACCAAGGAACAATCATGAAGGGGGTGTAATAGTTTGTATAATAAAATCTGAAATTTTTATGATTTCATTTTTTCTGATCAGTCAGTAGTTTCTTTACACCCATTGTTCTGGGAATGTTTAGAGTTTCAACTCTTAAGATTACCACAACAAGATAAAAATTGTAATTAACCCAGTGACCTTTTATCTCTGCTTGTTTTACAGTTGAACCCACCCATAAGCAGCTGACACCTCTCTTAAGTGGACCCTTTGTCTGGTCTCAAGGTGTCTGTTTACAGGAGGTTCAACCATTCCTCTCAGAACTGATGTGTTCATATAACTTTTGTTAGTATTCATTGTTTGTATTTAGTGATTTGATTATAAGTTTTGTTTTGGTGAACCAGGTTACTGCAGCTGCACTGTAAGGAATACATGATTAGACGGGTGATAAAAAGAAACATCAACAAAGAACTACACAAAAAGAAATTCTTTGACTAAAGTGTAGCTGGCAGTCTTTCTTGCACAATGACAGTCAATAAAGTCAGGAAAATGAGCAGTGACACTATCTGTCTTAAGAGTAAACAGATTCTTTACTTTTGGATTTAGCTGCTTTAAGCAGGTTCCTAATTTTTGTGGGAATGTTTCTTTCTAGGGTAAAAATGTGGGCCAATCCAATCTCAATGAGAGAGAAATGTGATAACTCTTGTTGAAAATAATACTACACAAAACCGAGCAACATATTGCCTTCTAATAAGGCTTATCAAAAACAAATATCAGAACATTTTGGTTCAACTGTCTTATCTATTAATCCATTGTTTCTAGTAGAAAGTGAAAATTTTTTAGGTCACTGTTCTCGCTTTGCTGTTGCTTTTGGGAAGTCCAAATTTTCAGGATTTGCTATCAACTGTCAGTTTTCGTCACTACTTTTGGATTTATTGTCACTTTACGAGGGTCTCATCTTTTAGGGGTCATGAGAAAAATAGTGCGCAATAAAATAAAGTTGAAGTTGAAGATACACTAATATTAAATTGAAACTTTCCAGTATTTGCCAGTGTGTAAAATGAACTGCCAGTTTTGCTAGTTATGTACTTGAATGTCCATAGCAGATGACCAGGTTTGCATGACATCTTGAGATATAGTGAAGTCACCCGTAGATATCATTCTGTGAACAATATCATTGACATTCACAGCACAGACCAGCTCCACAGGGATGCCCATTTTATTGATCAGTGAGCCAGCTGAAGAAAACAGTAACATAATTACACGTGCACCAAGCATCAAAGGTACATGTGAAAGGTATAGCCCTGTTAGGGCCATGTGCCCACACTGAATGTACATGTCCTTGTGTAGAACTGTTACATGAAAACAACTAGGGTATTATATTGCTACTCTCTTCCTGAATTGAATGCTGGTCATCCAGGACATTTCAGTTCTTTTAATTCTTAATTCTTCCCCTTTCTAAACTAAAAGATAACAGAAATGTGATCTCTCAATTTTTGTTGCTGGTGACCTAAGTTTAAGAAAAAAATGATCTGAAGGGTGGCTTTTTGGTGGCACCAATCAAAAACCTCCAAATGTTGTTGACGTCTTTGAAGATACAAACTGAGCACCTTTTTGTGAAGATACATGCAGAACGAATATTCTCTTGCTCCTTACCAAAGGACACAACAGAGTAAGCCCAGCAAAGGTTCAGCCCAGGCCACTTGATTGTAAACAGTTTAACACCACTAACAAGCAAATATAGTTTGATTTAGTTAACATGCATTCACCTGTGCAATGTCCAAGTGCTCCTGACGGGATTACAAACTTTACAGTGTGTCCCACTTGACTGCAGACTCTTAGGTAACCATAGATAAGATGTACAGTTTGTGCCAGTATGCGGCACCAGTTGGTTGAGTTAATCATGCAAAGATTATTTGCCACAGCATAGGCTGGATTTGAAAAACAATTTTTGATTGGCACATCCAAATCATCTGATGTTCCATCCACCCTGACAACATGAACATTCTCCTCAAAGACTGTCGTCATTTGTAGCTCTTGTACCTGAGTACAACGACCTTTAGGATACAACACTATGATGTCGATCCATTGTGATCTCCTTACACTTTCAATGGCTGCACTACCGGTGTCGCCAGAAGTTCCCACAAGTACAACCACATTCTTCTTTCTCTTATTTAGGAGATAATCCATAAAAACGCCAACACTCACCAAGGCATAATCCTTGAATGCCAGGGTCTTACCATGAAACAATTCCAACACATGAAAATTGTTCACTGTTGCTAGGGAAACAATATCCTTATGCCCAAATTCAGAGAATGCTTTATTGACAAGATCTGTAAAATAAACAAGCCCAAAGTTAAAGAGCCCATGTCTGCATGAACAGAGTCATTTCTTGCAACTTATAAAATTCGCTCCAAATTGGAGGAACCTCAAAACACTGACACCTTTCAATAACACACTAACTCTGCTCAAACAAAGATGTGTGTTTTGCTGCTATCAATCATCTTAACAAACCTCTCAGGAAACAGTTGACTTCAACTTGATCATGTTTGTTTTTTTCAATGTTGCCACAATTATGATTGACAGCAGTGAAAAATTCAGTTGTAAGGATTTGAACTTCTCATTTTGTGTGTTATTGAAAGGCACAGCTAAGGTGGCTCAAAACAGTTTCCAGTACTCTCCAAGACTTAGATTTTGATCAGTCATTATAGTCACTCTCTCTGTTGATGGCACAATCATGGTATCAAACTGCCCAAATCATTGGTCAACACATTGTTATCATTTCTTGACACAATAGGTTACTATAGCAACAGTATGACCTGCTACACATACCCTTAATTATAACTTTAAGGGCTTATAGTAGACCTTTTTACCGATATGGCCGCCATTTTGAATTTATTAATTTGAAGCATATTATGGGATTCCTAGGGGGGGCACACACTCAAAAGGTTTGTGTGACGAGATAAGTCACTTTGATATACAGCGCTGCATATGCTGTGAATTGGTATTCCTCTTTAAAGTGTTACAGGTTATCAACCAGATGAAAACACGAAGGATTGTTTAGAATGTGTTGAATATTGAGAAATTACGAAAATATTTGAAAGATCGTGGTACTGTTATTACCAGTGGATACTTGACATACTTGCAAACGTGACATAGTTTCAAAGGTTTACCACGTTTCCTGGCTACACGCCACTGTCTAGCACTAAGAGCAAGAAGATTCTCAAATTGCAGCAAGAAAATAGAAAAAGTTCCTAATCGATTGTTTTGCCCCATAAGCATTCCATAATAAACTTTAAAATTAATATATTCAAGATGGTTGCCATATTGGTAAAAAGGTTTTTTCAAAAAACGGCATGGTAACTTTTTTTTTAAAACTTTGTCAAAAGTTGTGTCTTATCCTATTTATCAAAATGGGATGATATAAAAAAAATTTCAGATTCAATTTGTAACTACAATGTGTGGTGAGACTTGTTCTGTTAGCCTTAATACACTGTACATGTAGGTACATGTAGGTACATGTAGGTTATCAGAAGCGAACCAGGATACTCTGAATAAATACCTTGGAAAGTTAAAATATTTTCGTGGCTACTAAACCTTATTACATAGGTTTAGATGGGCATTAGCATATGGGGTAAGTCTCTGCACTTGCCATATGCTAATGAGGCCAAATTTTGACCCAATAAAAATTATGGTCTAACCTCTCATGAGTGACCACCTCCCATAAGCTTCCACCTAACTTGACAATTTGGTTGGTTGCTTATGGGCATTTTGACTGTATCTTTTTGGAACAACACAATTTAAGCACAATTATATACTATTATGTACATTGTATAACATTTATTTTACCCTTTAAAGCACTGCTAGCTCATTACCATTCAAGTCCTTGGCAGGTATTTCCTCAGGGGGGATAAACAGTGACATCACTTCCTTGCTAAGGTCCAAGTATGAAAGATTCTTCCATTTCTCAAGAGTGGTTTTGTCCACAAGTGGAATTCTCTCAGGCATGAACAATCCACCATCACTGGCATAGCCACTAAAAAGCACATCTTCAAATGATTCAGCTTGCACTTTACCTCTTGTGCTTCTGTATTTCATTTTAGTAATTCACCTACAAATGAATCAGATACCTTCACTTTGATTGCATGTATGTGACTTCAAATTACCACGTAACTCATATTAACCAAATTGGAATAGGTAATCAAAATACAACTACCCAAGCTTCCCCTCCCCAAGAAGTTTTGACAAGCTTGATCAAGTTGATGGAAGAAATGGATGTCTCTGTACAAATGTGGGGGTGGCGAATGGTAAAATCCGAGACTTGCCAAGACGCCGAGGCCGTTGACCGAGACGATTTCGGAAAATCCCAGCCCGAGACTCAGTGCAGAGAAAACCAAGCCTGAGACCTTAATTATGCAAAACTTAAAACCTAGGCTCAATACTGGAACAAGTTTGACTAGTGTTTGTAAGCTTTTGTAGACGAGCAGGCAACACCACGGAAAATAAGCAGACAATACCCCTAGCCCAAAGAACAAAAGAGGCGCAGATTAACAAGAACAAATCAAAATAGAGGTTCTAAACAGGTGCAGGTCAACTACTGTGAAAGTTAAAGTACCTATGAGGTAAAAAATAAATGCTGCTTATTTGAAAGGCTTTTCAAAGTAAAGAAGAATGGCATTTCCCTTTTTGGAATACCTTTTTTCGTTTTAGAGATATTTACGTTTTTGTAAGGAAAATGATGATGTCATAGGTGGTTCCACTAAAACAGCACAACACTCAATCGAAAATAACTTAAGAAACATTAAAGCAGTGTTCTTTAAACTTGGCACCAGAAGTGTACATCACAAAAGAAACATAATGACACCCATTGTGCCATTGCCATGACAGCAGTTATGCCGCTGGTCCTGTTTTAATTAAGACTAAAATTCCCATATTTTATCTTAAACAAGGATCATCCATTCCCACCAATCTAATGGGGAGATTTAAAACAATATGGGAACCATGTGTGTTCCGAGCAAGACTCTCTGTCCCACTTTAAAAGGTTGCAAATAGGGATATTTGGTTTTTCACAGAGAGAGATCGGAGCTAAGAGTGTTGTCATGGCAACAACATAGTAGTTGTCATTCTGTTTCTTCTGTGATGTAGATTTCTGGTGCCAAGTTTGAAGAACACTGCTTGAATATTTCTAGAGTTATTCTTGATTGAGTGTTGTGCTGTTTAAGAGGAACCACCTATGACGTCATCACTTTCCTCATTTGCATAATACAAAAACGTAAATATCTCTAAAACAAAAAAAGATATTCCAAAAAAGGAAATTGCCATTCTTCTTTACTTTGAAAAACCTTTCAAATAAGCAGGAATTATTTTTTACTTCATAGGCACTTTAAGTGTTTAGCTTGCTCTAGAAGGGTGCACGACTCACGAATGTGTATACAACATGCAAATGATTTGAACCTGGTCACAACCTCTTCACATTCCCAGTAGTGCATTCCACCCCCCCCCCCAAAATACAATTGATTCTATCATAGAAACCACATCAACTTGTTTTTCATTCACATCTTAAACCTAGTAGTAGACTCAATTCAAAAACTTATTTAATAGGAAAAGCTCACCCTTCATCGCATACTCGTAGTTATATGCCAAACACTATGTTTCTTTGGCCGATTATCCAGTTGCAAATGACTATCAAACCCACCCACAAAATCCTCAGCCTAACCCACAGAAAATGTCAAAGTAAGCCCAATATATGAATACTTCCTCCTGTTTTATAGAAGAATAAATATGGCCGTTCTGAACTGTATCGGGATCAAAACTTCTCGCATACCATTTACCTTTACAACAAGAAATTTGATTGGCTGTTTATAGTAGATCCAATCTGATTGGTGTGACATAATCTGATTGGTGGGACTCAGAGACCGAAAGAAACACATGAAAACCGAGACTTCATGACTCATCACAAAAGCTTCTGAGATTTTGAGATCGGATCAAAAATTTCCGAGATCCACAATTTTCTGGGTACCATTTGTCACCCCTAAATGTCTAGCTTTCTCAAAGTAAAGCTACAACAGTCTGTGAACAAAAACCGGACAAAGACATATCTGTAATATCGTGATCTGAAGCAACATACTGTACTTGACAGTTCTACTGAATCAACCAGCTGGGCGACACAATAGATGTGCACAATACATGTTCACGAAATATGTCAAACTTGTTCCCTTCAAAATCAGAAACATTTTTGTTCTTTTGGAGTGGGGTTAGAATTGACAGAGCCATAAGCTAAGGCAGGGTTCCAGATTAGACTGTTTACAGCCCTTAATTTTCTTGTATTTTTATTTGATCATTGAACGAGAGAACGAGAGAACGAGAGAACTGGACGCAAGCACAAAAGGGAAGACTTGACTGAGCAGGGGCTGGAGATCAAGAAAAATAGAGGGGTTGTAGCCTGATCTGTTTGGAAAAAGTGAATTCCCCGTTTCTCCAGAAACGGAAAATTCCTATTGCTTGAAAGGCAACAAAAGTGTCATCACCTTGACAATGGCTGATCATGATTACATCCAGACACGTTTTGCGGCTTACAGCAATTGTCATCACTGACACCTGTCTTGATTCATAACGAGCAATTGTTTTTAAAATAGAATCCTGTTAATATAATTACTCAAAAGCAACATGAAAGAACAAATAGAAGAGATGGAATAGCTCAGGATTCCTTCCATCATTTGGTCAACAAAGGATGACATGCTTCTGCTGATTGTAGAAGTGAAATACAAGCTTGTTTTCAGAAGACGACGGAAGACTTTTTGTAGTTGACGAGTGCCACAGCATGTATAAACACCTTGGGAATAAATTCTCTGCAGATATGTAAGATGTCTTGCCAAGATTTCTCAATCAAATAGTATAAGAACGAGTGTACATCCTGCAAAAACTGGAAGGACCACTTGATTTTGGCTTTCTCCTGCTTTTAGCAGCTTTTATTTTGGAATGAGTTGAACAACACCTGAATGCATGTATGTGTTGTTTGCAAACTGATACTTGTCATCAATTTACCACTCAAATTTTATTTGGTCCAATTTAAATAATTGGTCAAGGGGTGGAACTGTTAGTAACAAGGCGAAAACAGGGGCAGGAGCGTAGCAAGTCCACTTTTTTCCACAGATGTCTACAGTCTCTATTCTTTTTTCTCGCTTCACTCGCAAACCCCACTCCCCAACCCACATGCTTCAAGCTCGCTTCACTCGATCTTTCTTTCGCATGTGTAAATATAGAGGCTGTGAACAGTCTATTCCAGATAGGTCTTCAAGGCTGGGCATCAATTGATAAGGGATTCCAGAAGGTCAATTCCCACTGCTCCCACCAAATCATTATAAATTGAACACTTTTGTGCAAAAAGGGCATATATAGCATTTTGGGCTGATTTTTATTTTTTGCAGGATCTAGCCAATTTTTGGCAGACTGACTTGTTTTGACATGAAAAGCATCGTTGCATAATTGGTTTTGTTGTTTTGCGCTTCATTTTCGAGAAATAACGTATGCAAAAAACTCAGTTTTCCAAGGGTATCTTTTCGAGATCTTTTGTTGAACGAAAAACAAAAGCAGGGCTTGACACTAACTTTTCAACTTACTAGCCTAGTGGCTAGAGATAACTTAGATGTTACTAGCCAAAACCTTTTTTTGCTAGCCAAGCATTGTGGTTGGCTACCTTCTTACATGAAATTTTTGCGACACGTTTATTTCACGATTTGCGGGTGCACACTTTTCATGACACTTAAATTTGGTGACTTTGCAAAAAATTTTGTATTTTGAATCGCTTTAACTTCACGTTTTTGAGTAATACAAACTTTATTTCCTTGGCAATGTCACTTAAACATGTCTTTGAATTTAGTAAACTGACTTTATCAAAGGTACAATAACGTCAAAAGTAACAAAAACGCAATGGCGGTACTATATGTCAATAGTAACATAACGTGTTATGTTCCTGACACTTACTTATTCGCATCACTTCAATAGACCAATTGCGATATATTAAAATTCAACACAATAGACCTTAGGACAAGGCTCTGGGGAATAAACCCCACAAACTCTGTAGTTATTCCCCAGAGCCTCATAATGAGGTCTATTGTTTTAGGCTGAATTTTAATAGATCAAAATTGGTCTAGTTTACGATTTTTTTTTTTTAATTGCGAAATTCGCAAAATTAATGTGTTGTGAAAATTTCAGGTAGGTGCAGTAACAACAAAATTACTAGCAAGACTTGAAAGCACAACACAAGCAACTCTCTTTAATACATAACATTGGTAATTATACTGTACTTAAACTAGTTTCAAAAAAGTTCCAGTTCCCGAAAAGACTTTCAGGACTCTGTTTTTCTCTGAGACTTCCTTGGAAAAATATTGAGACCCCCAAGACGTCACTGTAAAAGCTGTCAAGACTTCTTCACAGACAGGTGCAGTAGAAATGTGTCAAAAGCAAAACAACTATCTGAACAATACTGTAAACTGTTGTTGGCAAAATTTGACTGCTAAAAACGGCTGGTTTAAATGTCAAAGGAAATAAATCTTTCTCATCTAATTATTTCTGTAGTGGTAAGTTTGTAAGTATGCATACAACGACAAATCACCCATGTATTATTACGCTACATGTAAATGAAATGTCATCCCTTTACAGTTCCGCACTATTTTGCGCATGACAAAAATTTCATAACAAAAAAGAGCATTGATGTGTGCTTTCAGAAAAATGCTGTCTTATTTGTCAAATGTTTCTTTCAACAAAAGTAACATGTTCAGTTCCCTGTTTATGTACCATCCAGTGAAAAGTAGACAAATTTAAATTTGCATACATGTACTTGCTGAACAGCACATGCCCGTTACCATGATATGTCCACGATGAAATTCTGACCTTGTTTCTGACAAAAGTGTAAATTTTGTGTTTGTCTTCCTTGAAGGAGACAGAAACTAGTTCAGCCAATTTCATTTTGTTGACTAGCCAAAGTGGCTAGTGGAAATCAAAAACCTACTGGCCAAAACTAAATTTCTACTAGTCTGTGGCTAGTTGGCTACCTTAGTGTCGAGCCCTGAAAAGAAACCTTTTGTTTTGCTAAACAATGAAGTCACTGAAGTGTGGCATTTGCTGCTAGTTGTTCGAACCGATACAAGTTTTATTACTCATATAATTACACTATTCTCTTACTGTTGCTTCGTTAGCGCAAGCGAATAAGGTGCTGAACAGGCCGGATTCAAGTCTGTTTTGTCGTGACACCGGTTCAATACGAGTTCTGTCAATTTTTTTCCAGTCTATTTCTCTACATCTTTCAAAAATAAAAACATCTATTTCAAAAAAAAAACATGCTGTCAAAGCTGCTAATAGCAACCATTTAAGTTTGCCCCATTTCGAAATCCACCTTTGAAGGATTCACTCCAAAAGATGCCGC